TGGCGATGTTTTTGTTGGAGTGGAGGAGTACACCAGCAGTACAAAGTTGATGTCGATTTCCGGTGCGTGAGCTCAGCTCCCTCATAATTTCAGTACCTGCTACACTAATTGCGCAAATTTCTCGAAGTCACGTCAAATCTTTTGGGGTACCATAGCGCTGACCATAAATCTTACACCGCACAGCACACGAGGCTCACACTGTGATGAATGCATTTGTGTTTGCCAGGGTGGGTTTCAAATTCGGATAAGGCTTTCCGTTCGGTTTACAGAATTGAATTGAACATGATGAATTGCATTGCGGTACAAGGGATCCTCTGGAACGAACGATTGTTGAAGTAATAACGTTTTGAGGAAGGGTGTGTTTAGTTTACGTTAAAACTAGAAGTTTGGTTGAAATTGGAACGATGTAACAAAAAAGTTAGAAGTTTGTGTGTAGGAAAGTTTTGATGTGATGGAAAAGTTGAAAATTTGAAGAAAAAGTTTGGAACTAAACTCGGCCCAAATCCTTTGAATTAAGGCTGTGTTTAGTTCAGCGTAAAGTTTAGATTTTGGTTAAAATTGGAGATGATGTGACTGAAAAGCTGTATGTGTATGACATGTTGATGTGATGGAAAAGAAGTAAAGTTTGGATCCAAACTTTGGATCTAAACACAGCCTAAGGGTTAATTCGATCCATACCATTGCAACTTTATCAATTTACAAAAAAAAAAATACCATTACTGTTCACGATATCGGCTGAGTGTCACTGAAATTTTGCAAAATTAAAACCACGTCATCGCCATCACATTTTCTATTCCCCTTTCATCTTCTTTCTTCTTCCTTCTCTTTGTCTCTTCTCCTCCCCGTGTGCCACTCGTGCCTGCGGGTCTTCGATGAACCACCGCCACGCCTGTTGCTCCTTCCCCCACCTCCCCGGCATGCTCACCGGCCAGTACCACCAGCATCTTCAACTCCTCCTCGCGCAAGCTCCGACAAGACTGGATCCAAGCGCATGTGCTTCTCGGCCGATGTCACCGCCATCTTCACCACCTCCTCCTCGCGTGTGCTCTGAGGAGGCTGGATCCAAGCGCCCCCGCCATATTCTCTTCACCTCATCCTCCTCGCATCAGCTCTAGAGAAGCTGGATCTAGGCACGCGTGCTCCCTGGGCGGTGTCACCGCCATCTTCACCACCTCCTCCTCACGCGAGCCCTGGGAGGCCAGATCCAAGCGTTGCATATTCATCACCTCCTCCTCCTCCTCGCACGAGTTCTGAGGAGGCTAGATCTAGGCTCCGCCGCCATCGACCGGATCCTGGCGCCACTGCAATGTTCACCACCTACTCCTCACCGCTAATGGAGAGGTGATGGTGGTCACCACTGGGGTCGCTTTCTACTCCACCTCCATGTTCTTCATGGGCATCGGCTGTTGCCCTCATAGCTTACTGCTCCGCCGTCCCTGACGTTGTCCTCACCGCGTGATCCCTCTCTGCCGTTGACCTCTCCCACTCCCTGGGCTTTGGCAGCGGCGGCCTTGCCCACTTCTCCGGGGCTCGCTGGCCGGCCTCCGACCTCTCTCACTCCCTAGGCTTTGGCGCCGCTAGCCTTGCTCGCTTCGCCGGAACTTGCTGGTTGGCCTCCTTGCAGCCGACCCTCGACGGGGAGAAGAAGGAAGAAGACAGAAGGGATGGAAAATGTGACGGCGATGGCACGATTTCAATTTTGCAAAATTTCGATGGCACTCAGCCAATATCGCAAATAGTAATGGTGGTTTTCTAAATCGGTAAAGTTGCAATGTGTCGGAGGGTGAACTCCTCAAGCGGGGGGCAGAGAGGCCCTCCTTGTTAGTTCGACCAGGGGCAGCGGGTGAAAATCAAGAACTTGGTGGAATGTGTGGTGTAGAGGGCCTAGGGCCCCTCGTGAGCAATGAGACAAAAGTGGTTTATACAGGTTCGGGCCGCTAAGAAGCGTAATACCCTACTCTTATACTTGATTGATCGACCAAGGAATATAGGCGCTTGAATCAATGAGAACCAAGCGTGAGTTAGCCAAAGAAACGATCTCCCCCCCCCCCAAACCAGGCCTGGACCTCCTTTTATATCTCAAGGGGCTGCCACATAGGCCTCGAAACCTGCCTAGGGGAGAGGGAGGATAATTACATTAAATGCACGTCTTGTTGCTTGCCTTAGAAGCCATTCACACACCGACCATGGCGTGGGGCCTGTCAATTCCATCCGGCTGACACGGGGGACACGCATGTCATTCACTATTTAATGGAGGAAGACTTTTGGGTCCTCACTTGTGTCGAGAAACAGAAACCCTGCTCTGGTTGGGTTAGATGAGTTGACTCCGGCTGTGATGAGAGGCTAAACAGCCTCTCATCATCATGACGTGACAAGGGATGCCAGGTGGCACACCGCCTGACATGCAACCAGTGCACAGGCGCACTACCCTGGTCACATCGGTCATTCGACCAGTCTCAGACCGGTCACAGATTGGTCAGGCACACTACACGCCGCATAAAATGCCTTAAATGCGGTTAGGTCGGTGTTGTGGGCGTCCACCTAACCCCGTACATGCGGCGTCATGCGGAGGGGGTAGGGGCAGCCCAATCCCCTGGCATGGATGGGGTGGCCGCCGCCCTACCTCGGGCCTGACCCCCCTCGGGGGAGCGCCGCGTGGGTACTAGGGACAGCCTCCTCCCTCTGAGCTTGATACCACCGGACCGTATCACCGACACAATGTCATGGATCAAATTAACTCTTGAATTAAAGGAATAGCCATAAAAGAAATCATATCAAATTTCTTTGGATAGACTCAAAACATTGCAATATTGGAGGAATTTTGATATTAGATCCAACCTCTTGGAAAAAATATTTTGTTTTTATATCTCTTTTCTTATTCGTGCATTTTTCATGTACTCTATCTATACGATGATTCCTACATTTTTTTTCTCAATCGATAAGATTTGGAGTAAAGTTCCAGGATACTCCGATCCTGTATTTTTCATGTTCTTATATTTTGATCATGAGTTCCAAAAGACTAAACTTTCCATCAACGAAAATCCGGTAGAAACGAAAGTGGGTTGCAATTCAATTTCCCTTTTTGGTTCACAAGCAAATTTTCTTCAAATGAAAATTGTTACATATAAGGATGGTTTGGTTTGCTACCATTGTGGCAACATACATTATTGTGGAAGCCAAACATGGTCTAGTTGGCAAATTTGGGTAGTAAACCAAACATGGTCTGTTCAACTTGCCAACATTTTCGCTAATTGCGGAAGCCCTAGTGATGATAACATACATGAAACAATTAGACAAACTTTGATAGCATAGCTTGAAGATGGAATAGTGCCACAAACACAAGGCAGCTGCGGGCTGCGGCAGCCGTAAGCTGTAGGACTGGCTACCGAACAGGTCCGATGAATTCTAGAATTTGATGTTAGGATTTTAGGGGCTTCGTTGTTAGGCCCTGTTTTGTTCATTGGTGAAAAGTTGTTGCGTGTAACATTGGATATATGGACACATATTTGAAGTATTAAACGCAGTCTAATAACAAAACAAATTACAAATTCCACATGTAAACTGCGAGACGAATTTATTAAGTCTAATTAATATGTCTTAGCAAATGTTTACTGTATCACTATATTGTTAAATTATGACGTAATTAGGCTTAAAAGATTGGTGTCACAATTTACGCGCAATCTCTGTAATTAGTTTTTTTATCTATATTTAATACTCCATACATATGGCAAAACATACGATGTGACCCAGTAAAAACTAAAAAGTTTTTGTTTCGGAACTAAATTGTCTAGTTCTCCTTAGCGACTGTTAAAGAAGATAAAGTAAAAACTTATAGCTAATCTATTGTTAAAACTCAAACTTTAAATTCAAATTCACTTTGAGTGAAATGCCAGCGAAAGTCCATTGGAAAGATCGTGCTTGAATTCATAGGCGGACCTTAGTTACCCTGGCTTGTTGACCTACCAGTGCTACCACAGTACAAAGTATAACACGTTGAGGCCAAGTTTAGATCTGAAGTTTTTCTTCAAACATCCAACTTTTCCATCATATAAAAATTTTCCTACACACAAACTTCTAACTTTTCTATCACATCGTTTCAATTTCAACCAAACTTTTAATTTTAACGTGGACTAAACACACCCTGAATCTGATCGTTTGAGCTTTATTTTTTCAGGGGAATCGAGCTTTGGTTAATAGGCCGTCGAGAAAAGGAATGATAAAACTAAAGTAATGTATGGTTATATTTGTATTATCAATGGTTTAACATGCAAATCTGCAGAATAAACCACGATGAAGAAAGTACAAATCAATCAATTATAAAGTTTTAAAATTTAATTTTAAATTTTGGCTGAAATGAAGAGAGGCTAATGCGTAATTAAGGTCAAATTCATCTTAAATACAGAAGTAACTGAAATTACTATTTTCCATACACCATCATCTATTTTTTTTAAACACCACAGAAGGTATTGCAATTTGCACATGCCAAAGTACAGAAAACAAGCTGCTACTGGAGTACCGTATTTTTTTTTCTAAAAAAGCATCAAGTTATATGTAACTAAGGCCTGGTTTAGTCCCCAACTTTTCCTTCAAATTTCCAACTTTTCCATCACATCAAAATTTTCCTACACACAAACTTTCAATTTTTCTATCACATCGTTTTAATTTCAATCAAACTTCCAATTTTAGCGTGAAGTAAACACACTCACTCTAAGAGTGAACCAATCACTCTTAAAAACTTATCCTCTCCATCCAAAAACTCTAATCTAATTCAAGATAGAATATATACTACTACCTAATCCTATGAATACGTCCAGATTCATTAGATGAGGTAATATCTCATTTCAACTATAGATTGAGTTTTTTTTTACGGAGTATATACCCCACCTGTCAGATGCCATACCGCCATGTCAGACTGCATGCGGATAAGAACGTCCACGTCGGATGCCACGATGCCATTCCTGCCACGTCAGCGTCCCCCGCTCCTATACTCCTTTAAAACCCGGTCCCTTCTCCTCGTCCTCTTCCCCCAAAATTCCACAACAAAAAAACACCCCCAAAAAAGATCAAAAAACCCTAACCTCCGATCGAATCATCGCCACCCTCCGCCGCCGCCGCCGCCCGCCGTCTCCGGCCATGTCCCCGTCAATCGCCGCCTCCCAGGATCGCGTCTCCCGGTGATTACTCCCCCGCGCCCTCGTCTCCATTTTCTTGTGCTGGTATGAGGGCCGCCGCCGCCCCCGATCCGTCCCCGGCGCCGGCGAGGTCGATGCTGAAGCGGCTGTTCGATCGCCAGCTGCTGCGCGTCTCCCCCGCCGAGCGGATTGTGGCGGTGGGCGGGGGGGAGAAGGATGAGGTGGAGCCGAGCTCCGTGTGCCTGGATGGCATGGTGCGCAGCTTCTTGGAGGACGGGAGCGGCGTGGGCGCGGCTGTCGAGCGGGCTGGCGGCCATGGCGCGCGGCGCTGCAACTGCTTCCATGGCGGCGGGAGCTCCGACGACGACGACGACGAGGACGACGCCGCCGCGTCCTCCGACGTCGCCGAGACGATCAAGGTAGGTGGGGTGGGCGAGGAGGAGGAGAACGACTTGTGGTCTTTTATTTTACTTTTCTCCGGTGGCCGCGCCATGGCGTGCAAGGACACTGACCTCGCCGCGTGTCGTGCAGGGGCTCGTGCACTGCGCCACGCTCCGGGAGCGCAACCTCCTCGCCGACGTCTGCGGCCACGTGGAGCGGCACCGGGCGGGCGGGGCAAGGAGGCGGGAGCTCCTCGGCCTGGTGGCGGCGTCGCTCCGCGCGGCGGGGCACGACGCCGCCGTGTGCGTCTCCCGCTGGGACAAGTCCCCCACCCACCCCGCCGGCGAGCACGCCTACGTCGACGTGCTCCTCCCGCCGGCCTCCGACCGCGGCGCGCGCGAGCGCGTCCTGGTCGACGTCGACTTCCGCTCCGCCTTCGAGGTCGCCCGCCCCACCAAGGCCTACCGCGCGCTGCTGCAGCGCCTCCCCGCGGTGTTCGTCGGCAAGGACGACCGCCTCCGCCTCCTCGTCGCCGCCTCCGCCGACGCCGCGCGCGCCAGCCTCAGGAAGCGCGGCCTCCACCTCCCGCCATGGCGCAAGCCCGAGTACATGCGCGCCAAGTGGCTGTCCCCCTACGACCGCGAGCCAGCGCCGCCCGACGAGGCCTCCGCCTCCGCCGCCGCGGCCGAGGTCGCTGGAGAGGAAGCCCCCGCCGCCGCGTAAACAAGAGGTGCCGCTTGGAATTTTCAACCTTCAGGAGGGCCTAAATGCAAAGTTAAATTTCTTCGATTTTAACACTTTTTTTTGGGGAATCTCGAGTATTTTGGGGAGTGAGAAGAGTATGTATTACGCGAAATGGAGACAGCAATATGTAGTGTAGTTTTAGTATTAGGAGAAAACAAGAAGTACAAAAAAAAAGAAGAAATCTTTTGGTTAGGATCAGATCAGGTTAGCATCCACTTTTGGTCCCAAATTAAGCCTATAATATTTCATAAGTAGTAGTACTAGCTAGAAGCTTGATCATGATAGTATGGTGAGATTATGGCCATTAGGCTCCTGTTTGTTTTCATTTTTGTAAGCAAAATGTTGCCCAGCAGACAAGTTGAGGCGAGAGATGAGTACATCATACACGGAGCTTTTGATTTTGATTTGGATTTTGAGTTTTGATCCCCACAAATTAGAATTGTGCAATATTTTGTAGGATTATATGTTTAATATATACATGTTTTATGAACTGTTTGGAAATGAGCACTTATATTATGTACAAAGATTTGTATATAATGTTTGGAGGAAGACCGAATTGGAGGGTATGCTTCCCATTTAAAACCTCTTGAGTCTGAATCTTTTCAGACAAATTCACGCCTTCGTTAAAAAAAGGCTTGATTTTTTTGTTTGGCTTCCTGGATATAATAATCTACTTAAATTGAAGTGATTCGTGTAAACTTTACAGTAGTATGGCTCGAAGTCAAGCTGGTTTGTGGTCTTTCTCTCAGTTTCTAGAACAGTCTCTAGTCTTGGTTTCTTTTTTTAATTTAAAAAAGAGAACAGTTTTAGATAACGACGAAGAGCAATAGACGCAAGATAAACACATGGATATTATCATATTACTCCCTCCGAAATAATAATACTTGTCGTTTTAGAAAAGGGTGAGATTAAATTTTAGAATCTTTGATTATAAATCATTTTTAAAATATTTGTCTTTCAAATATAGTGATTATATGTATAGATTCGTCTTAAAAAGTACTTTAATAAAATAATATATTTGTTAACACTTTTTTACATATTATAATAGAAAATAATGGTCAAAGTTGTTTTTTTTGAAACCGTGCCCTTATCCAAAATGATAAGTATTATCAACCCGGAGGGAGTATTAGTTTTCATTTGGTCAAAATATATTACTAACAAGGGAAGATTTCAAACTGTTGACCATACATATATTTATCATTCAGAAAAGGATGTAATAGAAGTTATAGCCAAAAAGAAAAAAGAAAAAAAAAACTGAATCCTCTCACGATCAATAAATTACTAACGGAGTGTTTCCCCCCACTAATAATTCAAGGTAAGTGGCTGTCTTATCACCTAAAAGGAATATGCTTTATGTGGTGAAAAAAAAGGAAAAGATATTCTCCATCATCTCTCTTAAAAAGTTAAGAATAGAGTTTTAATACTACTAAAATTCAAGGTGGTTGTACAGTGGAAGCAACCAGGTGCCGGTTGTTGCAAGGGAGACAAGGGCAAGTGGCAGATATAGGATTTTTATTTTCTTTAGTTCTTTCTGTTCGTTTTGTGTGCCAAAAACTTAAAACCAAATCTGCATGAAAAGATTATCTGCAGAGGTTGGTTGGGTTGGATTAGAGGATGGACCTGTAGGTTTGATAATTAATTGCCATTTGTTTATCCAGTAGGACAATCTTGTTCTAGAGGATTCTCTGTGGAGTTTGGACTGTGCCAATTCTAGGGAGTCAGACAGATGGATAATGCCAAGCTTTTTAGAGAAAAATTACAATTTCTACAACATAAAATTAGTTTTATTAAATCCATCATTAAATATAGCATATCTGCTTTGTGTTTAAAATGTTACATTTCTCTATAAACTTTATTAAGTACAAACTCGAAACGTTTTATAATACGTAATGAAGGGTGAGCTCTTTTTTTTTTCCATTGAAGACTGATAGGGGAAAATGATATGAAAAGAAAGATGGAATTATAGACCCTTTTTGCCCAAATCTTATTTTAACATTTTACTCACTTCATCCCAAAATAAATTTTACACATGACAACCTACTACTCATCTCGCATAGAGTACAAGAAGATTTTTAGGGTGAACAACCGTAGTACTCCCTCCGTTTTGAAATAAAACGATCTAGGATGAGATGAGATATATCGTAATATAACGAATCTGGACAATGTCTAGATTCATTATATTAGGATATATCCTATCCATATTCGTTATACCATGATATATCTCATCTCATCATGAGTTGCTTTATTTTGGATCGAAGTATTAGAAAGGAACTGAAAAATGAGAAAAAATACAGCTAGTATGAGGCGGAGGGGCCCTTTTGATTCACGGAAATAGAAAAACCAATATTTTAATAGAAATGCAAGTGCAAAATAAATGATTGCAAATATAACAAACAAAAATAACCGTTTGATTGGAACGCACGAATAATGATAGATAGACTCAAGAGAAAATTTCTAGGAGGTTGAAGTTCTTGCTAAATTTCCTTCAAACTATCTATATGATTGTCCGTTCCATAGGAATTTAAAGAATAAGATATGATTCAATTCTTTGTTTCAAAAACCTTCATAGAATATTTTTCTACTATAGAGTTAAAATCCTTCAATTTTTTTTATCTTTTCCTCCAAATCAGGCCCCTTTGATTCAAAGGAAATTCATATGAATTTTTGAGGATTTCATTACTATAGTAACTTTTCCTATATGTCCCTTTGAATTAAAGAAATGAATACTATAGAATTCTAATATATTACCTATTCCCATAAAAGTTTTAGAAAAAAATTAACATGAGCTAAAAGCTCCTTAAAAGAATTCTTTGAGTTTTTACCGCTTCTCAAATTCCAGTGTTCTTCATAGGGCCTAATCAACATTTCTATGTTTTTCTGTGTTCTACGGTTATCTATTTTACACTTACATTTCTACCAAAATACCATGTTTTTTCTATTTCTCTATTTTTCATTCATGTGATTAATTAAAGAGGTCTCAACATCTACTAGTACTACTCTCTTTGTCCCATCAAAAATCAACCAGTACTGAATCTATACATACATCTGACCACATTCGTCATACTGTATTTTGTCTTATTCAGTTCCAAAATTTATTTTTTTATAGAACGAAGAAAGTAGTACGCCCTTCCCGGAATCCCGGGCTGTAAATCGCTGCCGTACAAGTACGGGAGAGGCGATGAGATGATCACGGGCAAGGAGCGAGGAGTACGACGCGTGGGGTACGTGAGCGGCGGGCCCGATGTGTCGCGTCGCCGGTGACCGCTCGCCTCGCCCTCGCCTGACCACTGTTTTTACTCCTCACTCCGCCGCTCCATGGCGGGCCAGCAGCAGCAGTGTTTATTACTACTGCGCTGCACCGTGTACTACTACTGCTTCTGCTGCCAAACGCTGTTGCTCCCGTTTTATTGCACGCCAAAATTCACAGCTCCTCCGTTTACTCCCGTCCTAACCAGGGTGTGATGTGTTGTTTCAGTACCTTATCTTCACATTCGTGTGTACAAAAGTTAGTTTTTTTTTTGCCGAGTTTAGTTCCAAACTATTTTTTCAAACTTCTAACTTTTCTATTACATCAAAACTTTTTTACACACACTTCCAACTTTTTCGTCACATCGTTACAATTTCAACTAAACTTCTAATTTTGACGTGAACTAAACATACCCAAATGTTTTAAAGAAGAAGTTAAACAACAATGGTATTGATTTTAACACAGAAAATAATTTATCAATATTTTGTAGAAAAAGTATAATCTTAACTTATACGACCTTTACATATTTATACTAATTTTTTAATAAGACGAATGTTCAAACGTTATACGAAAAGTTAACGGTGTCGTACATAAATGAAGTAGTATATAGCAATGCCATGTAATCCTAGTAAAAGAATAAAGTAAAGAAAACGTAGGGCATCAATGAATCAATTGTTTAGAGTTCAGACAAGTACACAATACAAGTTATATGTACAGCGCTGCAGCTACTCGGAGTCGTCGGGCCGCTGTCAATCCTTACATTGGGTCCTTTTCTAAATAGGCATTGATCACTGGATTGATCAAAGATAACACGGCAGCTAGATTGTGACGTCCGATGATGGATCGATCGGTATGCACGGAGAAACTTTCCTAAGTATACTTGTTTCAAAAATTCAATGGGAATGTACAATTCTCCCATATATGTTGTAAGCTTAAACTGTAGAGGCTAAACATTCTCCCTTCTTTGTTTATTTTTCATCACGAAAAAATTGCACCGCCTGTGGGTTAATTTTCAAAGTGAGCTTTCAAAACAATTGAAAACAGTTTGCGAGCATACCTTAATTGGGTGTGCCAGCAAGAGAGTTCATTCTCACGATCGATGAGACAATTTTTTGCAGACGAATGGTTTCTTTCAAATCCTACATGGAATAGTTGGATTCTATAAATTAAATTAAATCTTTATAACAAAATAAAATGAACCAAGGACACGTTTCCCAAGAGGTGTTGTGTCATAGGAGATCATTAGCTCTAGATTGTCTCTATGGGCACACTCCCTGTAAGGATATTAGAATGATCAACTATCGCTTGAATTAATGAGGGAAAAGAAACGTTGCAGATAATCCATATATTCCAATAAAGCCCCACTTAATTTAAAGGCTTCGTTTCATATGAAGTTTGCACATTTGAAGGCCAAAGGAGGGGCATTCTGCAGAATTTGTGGCAACCATGAGTAGGATCATAAAAACCATCCAAATTAATTAAAACGAGATGTGGGGCATTCAGAACTGGTGGAGAGAACAGGATAATGACATCCTCTCAGTTGGATCTATCTACCAGTTACATGCACATGGACAGAAAACCAGGGACAGAATTTTTCTAGAAATCACTAAACAAACAAACCTTCCATGATTACAACTAATTAAACAAATATCAAGGATTGGTTAGCTAGCAGCATCAGTTCAGTAAACAACAGTCCACTGGCCTTGTTGTTCAGTTGGTTGAGTCGATGAGCTATCACATGCTTTTGCTGATGAGACTACTAATCTATGGGTTTCGGATACGATTAATCAGCAATTAGGAGTAGCACCCTAGGAGGAATCATGCATAGTTTACTCCTAATTATGTTGCTTTAGTTGAGACCTCCAATCAACCAACTTGCTATCAGTGGCCAAAGGCGTTAGGGGACACACATACACACACAAACAAATATCTTAGGTTATGTCCAAACTAATGATAGTACAGGTATGACAACCCATGGCTAAGAGCACACACATGCACCCACAATCCAATCAATTATTTTTCAAATAAAGGAACTCTTGTGTTGATTTTGTTGAATTTTTATAAGAGATTTGTTGATTTAATCGTACTCACGTTTCCATTGCAATTATATTTTAGGATTATTGGATTTAGAATTAACTTTGTCTTTTCTCCCCCATGAATTCGAAATAATTGTTACCGTGCAAAGCAAACTAGCCATGTGTGCATCTAACAATACTTATCACATCCTTGTCTGTAGGTCGAATTTATA